AATTGCCTGATGCTTTCAATGAAGCCAAGTTTATCACTTTCAGCATGTTGGTCTTCTGTAGGGTTTGGTTGTCCTTTGTTCCAGCATATCTGAGCACAAAGGGAAAATATACAGTTGCTGTGGAGATCTTCTCCATTATACTCTCTAGTGCTGGGTTATTCATTTAGTATCTTTTCTCCCAAATGCTACATCATTATGTTGAGGCCTAATCTGAACAAAACAGAAGAATAAAAAATAAAAAAACAATTTAGTTGTCCATTTGATGTGGATTTGACTCCCCTCTGACTATTCTAGGACCATAGGTAGCACAACAATCTTATCAGAAAATGTTTTCAAAAATTTATACCCCTTCCTAACTTGACTTGGAACATCTTGCATCTTAATACAGTCTTACAAATGTATATGCCACTGAGAAATTGGTTTTGTGTGTATTCAATAAAAATCTGTTCCCCAAATTTCTCTGAACTATAAATATACAGAACTACTATTAATGTATTTTAATCTTCTACTATACAGTGAACTATGTTGAAAAACTCAGAAGGATATACCTACGAGTTATATTTCTTTCCTATTGCCCCCCTCCCCACTTCTTATTGGATTGAAATCATTATCCTGTGATCTATAGGGACTAGCTTCTGATCAGGGGCATATGGGGTGGCCAGAAAAGTCAAGATGGCAGAATCAACTACATTATCAAAATCCTATACCCTTTTTGTGTGTGTTGAATTCACATTAAATAGTTTTGGGGCTGCAATTGCACAGCTACACATTTTTTTTTAAATCCCTCCTACCCTTACTTATCCCTGCTTCTGCTACTCTTGTTATCACACTGAAGTAGACCATAGGTAAATAGCATTTTTTTTCCTTCAGAGTTTTCTGATTTTTTTTTTTCATTTTAATTACCAAAATAGATGGGTTCAACTATATGCTATATTCCCAAGAGAGTTTTTTCAATTACCTACTATATTTCTGGCTTTTTCAGCAAAGAAGAGAAAGGATCTCTATTAAGATATAAGACATGTTTTCTTATTCATTGTTTTATTTCATTTATTATTTTCAGTTGGTTCTTCCCCTGCAATTATCCATTTAAACATGTTAACTTCTGAGTTCCCCACAGATATCTACAGGAACCACTAATACAGAAATGCAATACAACAAAACAAAAGGATCTGAGAAAATACAGTGCAGTATTCCCTGGACAACCTTGGGTTAAAGATAGTTAAGGTTCTGAACTTTGATCATTGTCACTTTGATCCAGTAACACACTGTCTGGGGACTTAGATTAGACGATCAGAATTAATGAAGGACAGTGCATGGAGGGATGAGTTGACTTAAAGAAGGAACTGCTTCATTCAGAATGGGGATATTTGAAGCAATTGTTTTAGTGCTTTTGCCCCACGTTGTATGCAAGATCCCAAAGGCTAAATGCAGCATCAGTGAGCCTCTGCCTTTTCTTCACAAGGAATACCAACCAGGAGACCTCATTATTGTAGGCATTTTATCGAAGATCTACATCTTCTGTTCCATGATGGACTTCAGTAAAGCCCCTTCTAGTGATCTCTTTGATGATATTCTGTAAGTTTATTTTAAAGCATACCGACACATTCCTTTCTAATGCCATTTGAAACAGTTTTCTCACTGCCCAGGAAATAACATTCTTTCCAATTATCCAATAAGGGAAAGATAGTATAAATATATTTTGCTAACTGCAGGAAACTTTCTATCAAAGGAAGCTCCTGTGAGTCAAGGAACATGCTTTCAAGGAAGCAAGCGTCTGTGTTTATCTTTAATAATACATAGATAATGTCTTTATTAAGCAAAAATCAATGTTCAGTTCACAAGCTAATCTGTGATTTTTTAAAGTTAAAATTAAGAGTGGAATTTTCAGTGACTTATATTTGTAAATTCCCATCATTTAATATTGTGATGGAAAAAAGATGAAAGAGTGTATAGAAGGAATGGGAACTTTTGGTAAATTGGGCATACATGTTATAGGGTAGGAAGCCTTCATAATATCTTGAACTAAGATAGACCAGTGTTGTGTTTTGAATTAAATGTTCTGTGACAGAATATGTAATTTTCCTTTCAGGGTCATGACACCAATTTATCAGCAATTCCTGGCTTTGCAATTTACTATTAAAGAGATCAATGAAAATCCCCAGATTTTACCTAATCATACCTTGGGCTTCTATATCTTTAACAGCTATTTTAGTGCAAGTTGGACTTATCGTGGCTCGTTAGAACTGTTCTCTGCTCAGGGGAGGTTCATCCCTAACTACAACTGTGACATGCAAAACAGACCAATAGCTGTCATTGGAGGACCAACCTCTGCTGTTGGGTTCCATATGACAACCCTCCTATCTGTTTACAAGATGCCACAGGTACAATGCTTTCTTGGAACGTAGGCATTTTATAAGTCTTTCATTCATTTATCCTTTTGCTTTTGGGTGTACTGTATCTATGGTATAAAAGTACCGTACATGTTGTAACTGGAATAAAGACAAGCTGTGTTTTTTTTTTTTTTTTAATCTATGATAAATTAACTGAAAAAGATGAATTTAAATTTCTCCCAGAAAGGATTTTTTTTTTTTTTGGCAGAACTAAAGCATTTATTTATTTATTTATTTATTTATGCAATTTATATAGCTGCCCAACTGACCCATGGCGATTGCATGTTTTGGAAGAAGCTCAGCTGTAACCTCAGGTTCAGAAGTTAACTGTAGGATGGATAGATAAAACCAGAATGCCAAATTATTATATTTAAGAAAACATTGAGAAGTTATTGATAAAAGTTCAAAATCTCAGAATGTATAAGTACCATAATTGTCTTCAAATGTAATATTATTTGAGTATGTACCAAACTGGATACCACAGGAATATGGTACCCATAATCTCCTTCACTAACACAATGTGAGAAACTGGATATCACTTCCATCAAATGTTATCTGTAACATGAATGATCTCTTGCAAAATTCTAATATAGTGTTTATTTTGCTGATGCAGACCTGTCTATTGAGTAAAGGATTGGTTCTTGTATAACTAAATGCATAATTAAATTTCTTCAGCCCATTCATTCTTTTCGAATTTTATGTAATTTATCTCTTGATTTCATTCCCATATTTTCATGTTTTCTTCAGTTCATCTATGGTTCAGCTCCAGAGATGACTACAAAAACACAGGTCACTTTATATCAACAGATGTTTCCAAATGTTGATCTTCAGTACAAGGGAATTCTTCAGTTACTCCTACAGTTCAGATGGACATGGATTGGGGTAGTTTATATGGATAATGAGAATGGTGAAAAGTTTGTACATGATGTGGTTCCCATGTTTTCCCAGAGAGGTATCTGCTTCGCTTTCATTGAAAATTCACCCACTGTTACTTATTCCAATGACATTATTGATACAGTGGAAGCTGGGATTAAAATGTTCAATGTTATCATGAAAAGCACTGCTAATGTGGTGATAATTCATGGTGAAATTGATGACATGATAGTTTTGAGACTATTTCCTGCTGTGTCAAAATTGGAAGGAATACCACTATTGACAAAAGTTAAGGTGTGGGTTATGACAGCACAGATGGATTTCATGTCACTTCCCTTTCAAAGAAATGAGGAGATAGACTTTCTCCATGGGGCTCTATCCCTTTCAATTCACTCAAAGAAAGTGTTAGGATTCCAGGAATTTCTTCAGATGAGAAAGCCTACCTTTGACAAAGATGATAGGTTTATCAAGCTGTTCTGGAAAAGTGCATTTGAATGCTCATTCTCCAACTCCATGATAGATGAGGAAGATGGAGTCCTCTGCACTGGAGAGGAGAAACTGGAGACTCTTCCCACACCTGTGTTTGAAATGGACATGACTGGCCACAGCTACAGCATCTACAATGCAGTCTATGTGGTAGCACATGCTTTGCATGCCATGTTCTCATCTGCATTCACATTTAGAGCAAAAAAACATGAAGCCAAACTGAACATAATGGAAAAGCAGTTCTGGAAGGTAAAATCTTGAGGAAACAAAATCCAAGGCATTTGCCATCTCTGCAGGAAGAGTATAGTTAGAATCTAAAGGCCATTTTTTAAATTCATCCCAAAATCATTTTCTCTGTAACTCTGTTGAATTGAGGTTACTTTTAAAATTAGATCAATGTATGTTATATTGATATAAGCTAGAAGGCACAATAAGTTGTGATGTTCTAAATTTGTTTTAATTGAGAAATTATTTTTTCCTCATATTGTAATATTATATGTATGTACTTCCTAGCCTCCAAAATTGATATATTTCTTACTTTTAAGTTCTTTTAACTGATTTTTAATTGCAACCTTGTCCTCCAAAATACATTGCCCAATAGTGTTATCCACACAGTTATTTTTATATTCTCCTAACACACTGAAAATTGCAACTTAAACAAGCAAACAAGCAACCTCTTTTTGTAATCTGTCACTATCCTCAAAAGCATACACTAATTTGCAGTCATATTTATTGACTAATATTGCATTGCTTGCTGGTTTTCTTAAATCTTTTAAAGGATTTAATAACCGAATCCTTCAAAATAAAGAAAGCATGTTCCTTTTGTACCACTTAATGAAGTTCTCTTCTTTTCATTTTTTAAAAAATTCAGCTCAATCACTTTGTGAGAAGGATCTCATTCAACAATGGCATAGGGGAAAAAGTTTCCTTTAACCAGAATGGAGAGTTGGAGATGGGATTTGATATTATGAACTGGATCACTTTTCCCAATCAGTCTTTCCTGAGAATCAGAGTTGGAGAAATAAACCCAATGGATTCCCAAGGAAAAATGTTCTATTCTTCTGAAGAATTTATTGTGTGGCCTAGGAGATTTAACCAGGTACTGTCCAACTTCATTCCTGTAATTATTCCATTGGGGAAATCAATAAGAGGTCTGAAAAAATACTCAACAGTTGTATTCTGAATCAGAATTTTTCATATTCTGTACCCGAAAGACTGTCCAGACCAGGTACCATTCCTAACTATGGAAAATCATTTGCTGAATGTGTGCTAGTGTGTTTTCCAGCCAGAGAATGGATTAATATGAGAGAAAGGAGCAGTGTTGGTATGTAAGTTTGGGAAATGAGGGTAAAAAAAACACTTTGGAGTTCCATTAAAAACATGCATCACACAAATGTTAAAACAGTCTTTGCAATGTGATAATCTGATTCCATGTCACAGTTCCTTCTGATCCCCAAAGAATAGGTGCTTTTAATTTTGTTGCTGTAATAAGAGAAAAGGTGCCCTCAGGGTCAAACCAGCTCCTCCTCTGAGGTCCTTCAGTTCTGAGGCAACCATGCCTGTGAGTGAGCAGCAACTGGAAGATTAGGTCTCCTTGCTGCCACCCCCTTCCCTATAAACCGGTTTTTCCCTTCCCCACCAGCCCACTGGGGAACCAGGAGAGGATTGAAGGGAAGATCCTCATCCCATCCTGGGTCTGGCTGAATAGAGAAAGGGAAACCAAAGAAAAATGTGTGAGTCTGTAGCTCAGCCAAGCTGAGGCGGGTGCTAGGAGGCGACCGGTCAACTCCAGGACTTGAACAAACAAACAAAATTTTTTAAAGATATAAGTTTCCACTCACACAATACACAATTAAAAAAATAAAATACAAAAACAAAACAAAACAAAATCCCCAAAACAAAACAACCTAACACAGTTCTAACTAGAGCTACTGTAAATAACTCAATTTTCAACCTTGCCTGAGGTAACTCCCTTATCTCAGACTCTAGCCAACTTCCTCATAAAAGGTGCCCAAAACTCTTCCCGCCAAAACCTGAGAAAACCCACTTCTTTTCTTCTATTGGCTGCCAGGGGTCAGATGACTCCCTCTGGGCACATCAGGTGGGCTTGTCCTTGAAAGGGCTGGCTGCTCCCCACTACAGATGTATATGTTTTCAGTTATAGTTATGCACTGAAGTGTTGTATGTCCCTCAGGCAGTGGATGGGAGCAGCCCGTAAGTCCTGCAGATGAACAAACAAATAAACAGGCTGAATGAAGTCCTCCGCCAAATGACTTTTTCATGAGTAGGCCAATGATAAATGTCAGCCCTCTCTCTCTCTTCCTCTGGAGTATAATAAACAGAATATACACCAGTGAAATGCAGCAGGAAACAATATACTGTACATTATAGTAATCATGGACTCAGCAACATTGCTTTGTGTCTTCTTTTCCCCCATTTTATATATGCTTACCATACCAACTCCGACGTACTTACTCAACTGAAATCCCAATATTAAATGTCAAAGGAGACTTTAATGCAAGGTCCAGAAGAAGGAAAAATATCACTCCAGGCTAAGTGTTCAAAGAAAGAACTAAAGAGTCCTCTCATACCTTGAATAAGCCACAACATATTTCATAGACTTTGTCTAATTCTATACAGTGCTACATCACTGTTCCCCCCCCAGTTGTGATGTTCTAAATTTGTTTTAATT